GGATTGAGGCAACGCAAATCAGGTCGTGATATTTGCAAAATTACGTAAAATGGGGAGACTAAATTGAGGTATTACTCTACGTTTTCACCTAAATACATGTTTTTCGCCACCATATACACAGGATTTTGGTAGTAAGCCAGAATAAAATTACTTAAACTCCATACATCATGACATAATTTGTATTTCAAACTGTCATGATTATATCATGAGACACAACTTGATCACATGAATACAAAATCCCCCGCTGAGTTAATTATCCGTGAGTAATTAAGTAACTTGAGTAATGATCCAGCTCTAATTTAAGTTATGCACCCCTTGTGGACAACACAATGCATGATCTCATACCCACATTTTTATGACCTAATATTTCACCATTAGTTAGTTTGTAACATATTAGGTATTGAATACAGTGGGAACACTAAAATAGCAAGATACAATTATCAATGAATTTACACCGAAGAGATGGAATGTTATATTGTAGTGGGTGCTCCTGGAAAATCGTGACATCTCCGGCACAAAAATGTGTAGGCAAGCTATACAGAGTATAATGCAGCTCTTCTTTAATACAACCCTACTAATACGTTTTACTTGATTTGGCATTTTTTAAAACATACTATCTCGAATATACCAAATTCAATGGCATGTAAATTACCACGATAAAGAGATAATTATCAAGGAATGTTCATAATTAGAAAATCTAAATCAATACATGACATTGCAATTAAATCATATATATATATGGCAGAATTTAATGTGTATAAATAGTGTATACTTTTGATAGTATGTACAGTACTTATACTGAACATATATTATTATTTGTCAAGACTTTTTCTCATACATTGCAGCAGATCTAATTTGTAGCAGACATTTTTTTAATTACAAAGGGGTGTAGGTCATCATTATGCAAATTGTACGATTTAAAAGGTTATATATGTATTCATGTTCATTTCTACTCATGTCACGCAATATACAGAAACATGCATGCGCACAAAATTGTAGTTTTGAATTTGTAATATTTATATGTAAATGTATATATTTTTCAGAATTGTACCCCGATTGTGCTCTTGGCATCATGTGATGAGAGTATGTAGGCATTCCTTTCTCTCGCAGAGTGATGCAGCCGTGTGTTTAATAGAATGGCCCATGGAAGCGGATAGCACAAAACTACATCCGAGATCCCTTCACGTAACACTTTCCGACGCACTGCCATATGAGAGTAATGTTACTCAGCTCACAGTCAAACTGCTATTTTAATTCTCGGAGGTGAAATTTTAACAATGTAAATACCAGACAACATTTTATTGGATGTTTTTTTGGTATGTTAAGTCATTCGTGGCCAGACTGAGATCATCAACTGACTACACCTGAAAGCATGTTTTGATTACAGGCAGGCTTGCCTGATTTCGAACCCAGCATCTCAGCGGTACCAGCTCAACGCTCTAACCTCTGAGGCACTTGGCTACCTCGAAATTTGAAAATATTTATTGCAAAATATGTCAAAACTAGTTCAACCTTTTAAATATTCTGAATTTCAATTGTTCAAGTTTTGTTTTTCCCCCATACAAGGTAATCTCTATCTAAAATCATAACAGAACAAAAAAGTAATTTTACAAACCTAAAATTACAAATGCTGTTGATGAAGCTTTAGATTTTAAAAGTAGCCGAGAAAAGCGATTTATTTTTGAAAAGTACATGTTATAATACACTAATATTTGTTATTCATACACGACATTTTATATGAAAATGTAATATTAAACTTTTGCCCAAATGCACACTGATACAATGTGATGGAAATTAACATACCCTTTTTACCACATGCACTGATGTCCTATTTTTTTTAGCTAATATTGAAGGAATTATTAAAACACAACACTGACTGTTACTTTTGTATTTCTTATTCTTTGTGAGTGATTGAGAGAAAAGGTGGATGAATTCCCACAACAGAGCAGTGTGTTCCCAGCTGGCTGTGGTTTGGAAATCGAGGTCTCATTTCGAATGAGTCAAGGATTGGCATTGTTTCATTGACTGTGCAATGCTGCGTGAAAGCTATCTGGATTGTCACTCCAAACAACGCGTTGTTTATACTGCCAATGATAATTCCATCTTTTATCTATAGTTTGGAAATGTTGGACCAATACAGAAACATCTGCTCTGTCTAAAACATTCAGGCTATGGATCATAGCCAGGATCTGTGTTTTCAAGGTTGGACTTGTGAGGAGCTCACAGATACTGGAATTAGTTTAACAGTCCCATCATCGCTGTACTTTTGCAACGGAGGTTGCATTAGCTGGGTCATTGCCAATGTTTGGCTGGATACGGAGGATAAATAATGACCCCTCATGCCAGAGGTGGGCTGATTTGGTATATATGGAGGATCTAGATTTACTTTTACCTGGTAGCAACTACTGTGGAGGAAGCTTGTGAATGAGGCTATTGGACCGCTGGTCGGGGTAGCAACAACAACAGGCGGTGGAGAAGTGATGTTCACAACAACATGCAAAGAGTTAGGATGCTATAACACAGGTGGTGCATCTGCCAGCAACCCCAAAATGTTTACCCATAACACCTGGGGCTCTCTTGACACTTAATGTCAGCAAACCTTACAGATACATCGCCACTGCTTCCTCTTACTAAAAGCAGCGGCCCCTCTGGAAGCAAGGCTCTCCTCCCTCCCCAAAGACCTTCAATTAGCAAATCACATGCTGCAGCTACCATGTACCGACCTACTCCATCCGTTGCCCACGCACATCTCACCTGGCTACTGCCCTAGAATCATAGCCACTCGACGTGGCAACAAAGTGCACTTAGTCTGGCACAATAAACACCACCAACTTGTGGGTTAAAAGGCATATATTGTTCTGAAGGTGAAATATTGTAGTGAGCATACTAACTTACAATCCCGGTAATCTTTGCTAGTTTCCTTGGTCACTCCCCGGAACATGCTATTTAAATATGTCCTAGGCCTATTGTAGTATGACTTAAACATCTGCACGAAGGAGACAAAGGCGCTTTTGCTGGGTGCCAGCAACTCCACCCCATAATGTGACATGCCAGGTGTAATAGGTGCGCCCCAACGGCATTTGCTCTAAAGTGTTAACGGATAAACAACGGATTGATTTTGTGTGGTGTATTGTCTGTACGTATGTTAAATGCATTGTCATTTGCTAATGTGGTTCAAGATTTAATTATTCATGGCGCTGCATTTTGTTTCAATATACATATATGTTACAAATAAAACATGTTATGCTCCATAGTTGCCTGTATACGATACATAATATAAACTAAGATTCGTTCAACTTAATTCTCTTTAATAAGCAACATTATCAATGCCAAAACATTGTCTATGAGTTACCATTGTTTTTAAGTTGTAAAATCTGTTACCTGTCCACTTATGAATCAGCGACAAACGTATCATCGTCATGTTGAAACCGTTCACGCCTCTTCTGCCTCGATGACCTCTTTTTTCCTATGACCAACTCCTTTCATAATTAGAATCACTCCCTTTTCTTTAATCCCTGCTGCTCAGTGGTCGACACATTTTTCTCATCTTGCGCCGCCTCTGAAATGTTTTCATCCTGCCAATCTGTACCACTTGATAGAACCCACCTTTTCACCCCATTGCCTTCGGTTAACGGAGAAGGGAGCTTCGACTAGAGAGAGTGGACAGTGTGTTGGAGGGGGTTTGTGATGAGATGAGGTCAGAGCGGCAGGAACACCAATTATAGAAAGCCATATTTCATCTCCCCACCCTCCCCTTCCATGTATAACTGCTGTCTGCCGAGGTCTATATTTTAACAAATTACGTGCTATACATAACCTAGGCATATAGCGGTTTCCCTCGGATAGTGGCACATTGAGTAAAATGTTTATTACTCGCGATATAAATTTCTAAAATCGAGTATATAATATGTACGTTTAAAAAAAATGGGGGTAAATAATTATATGTCGACGCTATAGCATGTTAGAATAATCCGCTCTATGTCATTTACAGCAATAATTAGTTTACATTTGTCTGACGTGAGAAAATTATTGATTTTGCTGCGAGTTTATAAGACAGCTTCCGCAGTACAGTTTCCTGATCCGTGTACATCAGCTGCACTCCCGTTTAGTGGGGATAACAGTCTGGGATTATTGGTCAAACTATGGGGGGTGGGGGTGTGGAGGGTTGGTTGCATGCTTTTGCCTTGTAGCACTGCTATAGTCTCAGTAGGGAATGTAATACGTGAAAATGGGCAAGAGGTCAGTTTATCACTTAACACCCTGCCCCGCAGCCAGCAGCAACACATCATAGCCGATAAGGCACTCCAACCCCAAAGCGCTACAGGAGAGGCGAATGACAAAGGGAACGAGTTTTCTAAATTGCATGGCAACGATCCCACACAGCAGACGCTGGTTTTAATCCCCTTTATGCCCGTTTGAACCCTCACGACAAAATATTACAATGTCATTTAAGGAGGGAGTACGGGTTCAGATAATGTGGGAAAAACACACCCCAACACAAGTGGTACTTTTTAATGCAATCTCCACACCAGCGAGCGTAAGTGTATCGCGATTCGTGGGAAACAGTTTTTTTATGCTTAGTGCTGTTACTGCTATTTCTTTCAATTCATCAAATCAAACACTCGCGATTTTTTAAAATATATTCCTCACCTACTTGTATTTAATTACCGTATTGTATATATGAAATGCAATAAGACATTTTTACAAGTAAATGGATTTAGACATTAAAGTATGTTATGTCCATGTGAGAACTTACATTACAAAAAAATCGAACTAGAATCGTAAAAAAAATTTAAAGTCTTTTTTTCATAACAGTACACGGTACATCTAGTTAAATCTTTTTAGAAAGCCCGTCGATGGGAGAACTAAAGTTTCCCATTCAATAAAAAAAACCGCAGGACATGCAAGCATTTGAAACACACTGCTGATACGTCTGTCACATAAAGCAGCTTCCGTGTCGCATCGTTACGTACGGCAGGCAAATAGAAGTTGCAACTCACCCAGTCCTGCTCCGGCGGTCCCCCCTTTAATCCATAAAAACCCGCTAGGCGCCCGACGAGCGAGGCTTTTTGTAGTGGAGGAAGCTAGAGGTGACCGGGGGGGGGGGGGGGACAATCTCCGTTGCAGAGCGCTTTCTATGGTGCCACGTGGTTGTGTGCTGCCACCACCGTCGCCTCCTCCTCCTCCTTGATTCACTGGCAGGGCGCTGCGCTGCTGTGACCGCTCGTCACTTTCAGACACTCACAGCGCAGATGCCCCTCGTCCTCTGGCCGAGTCGTCGGGTGTCGGTCCCGGGCAATACCGCCGTCGTAGCCGGCACCACCACCATCATCATCATAGCCCGTCCGCACTTATCCCGCCGCTCGGTGATTAATAACCTCCTTGTTTGTCCGGCTGCTAATGAGTTCACGTGGGCAGGGGCGCGGCGCGTGGCAGCGAGTCTGTTCACAATGATGTACAATGCATCGACGGCGGAGCGCGCTCTGCGTGCCTGGCGAAATGCTGCGCTGCGTGCGCTCGCTGATCGCTGCTGCTGCTGCGCGATTCGGGGCTGTTTTGTGTGTCCTGCCGGCTCCACGTCCTCCCCCCCCACCCAAGGGGCTTGGCAGAGAGCAGCCGCTGCTGCCTTTTTATTTGCTGCCTGGTCGCATCACGGGCAGTGGCGGTGGTGGACGAGGATAGTGCTTGTATCTTGCCATCGTGGTGGGGTTATGTGGAGTCATGTCTGCGCGTGAAGCAGCATCGGTATGCGCGAGTCGCTAACGCAGTCATGGCGCACGAGCCGCCGTCAGGCGTTGCGAGCGAAGGGGGTTCGGGGATGAACGCCGAGGGGGTCGCGGTGGTTCGCTTCGCCTTTGCTTGCTTGCTTGGCCCTTTGTGTTTGCTGCCTAAGGTTTCTCGCGTATTGTGAGATTTAAAATAAAGTGTAACGTGATGTTTTTGTTTGTTTACAAAAAATAATGTTAAAGGGATAGGAATGCAATTTTATTGTGTAAAAATAACAACATCGTTTTTTGTGCGTGTCCCCTCAATTTCACCTCTATTGGCCTCACCACTCCAAACGGTGCAATTACAAGGGTGAAGAGCAATAGGCAATACGGGTCTACTCTGTCGTTAACCTTTTACAGGCATTGCCAGTAAGAGCTACATTCATCGACCTCACACCCCCAGTTACACGTCAATTACATTTTTTCCCTGCACATTTTTGGATATGGCATAGCATTTGTTACTAAAACGTAAGATGTTGGGGCGTATTTCATAAAGATCGGGCTAAAAAAAAAACTCCAAATGTAAAGTATCACGAGTGCTACATTCAATTCAGGCGCATTAATTTCACGCCAGAAAATTACAGTTACACTATCATAGGTAATATTATTTTTCAAGTTTTTTTTGTTCTTTATTAAAACACCATTACAATTACTTGAGTATGATCAGCGCAGCCGGTAAGAATTAAAAGCTGCATGTGAATTTAGCTGATAATGGCATTGCACTCATGTACAATAATTATTGACTAGGTAATTCAAGGGAGCTCAAATGGTCGTCACGTTCTATTGAATTTATGGAAGACGCTTATACTAACAGCAGATTACCATCATTGATGAGCACATTGGTTACAACTGAAGAGTTAACGTTTAACTTCGTGCATCGCGACCATCTAATTTATTATATATTTGTTGACGGGGTGATGGAAGTCTGAGCTCCAGCTGCTTTCCGTCAACCTCCCTTCTTGTCACGCAGCTCTTAGATTGTGCATTGCACAGTACTGAATGCTATTCTTTAAGTCTCTGTGCATTGGTCATTTGAAATTGAATTTTAATGTATGCACGATGTGCCATTGCTACTGCAATGCCAATTTGCTTGAGCAGAGAGGGAGAGAGAACTGCTCAGTATAACAATGTCAGAATAAAGATGCAGTTTAAATTAAAGGTTAATTATATTACATTAAACGTGAATGCATAAATACGCAATTTGTAATTCAACAGATTTTCAAACAATATAGACAACCTTTAAGATAATATCGAACTCCATAACATTTAATACTCTCAATAAATCGTAAAAGTGTTATATATAATGCATAATGACATCTGTTCAAAGCTGATTCGTTACAAAATAAATGTTAACGTACTAATAGTTCAAATTTACAGCAATATTAATGTACAGCTTTTTATCAATCCAATACAAATTGTATCTCATTGCAAGTTTACAGAGCTTTGATCCTTTTTATACTGCCTTCTGTTTCTTCCTCGATCAAAATAATGATCTATTCTTAATTGTGTTTTTTTTTTGATACGGAGAATACAAGTTCCTTGTCCAGTCTGTTCTACAAGGCATATAGCAGAATCTTACACCACCAGCCAACACATTTCCAAATCCACAGGAAAATCCATACAATGAGACAATGCTTAGCATTTATTTGTCATATTCCAATAATAAATCCAAAACGGCACATTACATCTTTAAAATACTCATACATGGAATGATACTCCATATGCACCACATTTACCATCTCTACCATCTTGGTAAATTTCATTACACATAATTGAGTCCTTTTTGGAAATCATTATTGCAATTTTTGGAAACAATGCGGGAAATTATAGCATATTCTGTAAACCTATTACGGATGAAAATTTACATATTAATTCAACCTATTGTAATATATTTGGTAAAAACTTTATAATAATTACAAAAAAAATGTATTTTCGTCTAACACTTTACATGATATATATTTGGTATGTATGTTTGTTGTACGCACTGTTTGCCTCTAATTGTGTGCAATAGTTGTTTTGTACATTTGCGTTGTTGTTTCATGCATTGACCAATTTTTGTATTAAGTTATTTGTATGTGTATCCAGGTTTCCTTTTTAAAAGTGTCATTAGTCATACTGATCTTGCTTGTAATTAAATATTATTTATATTCTCTACATAATAATTTAAATGTATTGTATTAAATTCATTTCAAGTCTACCAGTTGAGTTCATTACAATAGATCCAAACTTTAGAAAATTGTTCTCATATATCAAATATCAATTGTTAATAACTGTGGAAATAAGAATAAACCTTTGCATTAATTGACCAACCAAATCAGTGACGGGGCTTCACGTAAATTACGAGTCGTCCCTAAACCATATGGTATGGTGTACCTTAAGTTACGTATGATATGCTGAATGTCACGCGAAGAAGTCCTGGGATGCTACAAATGTATGTATTCATAATCAACGTTTTTGGGTTTAGATCGCGTTATTTATAAATGTGTCGTAACCCTCCACCACCCGACACGGCCAATCAGTAAAAATGTGTCACGTTGACAAAGACAAATAGTTCACTGCTTTAGCCCACCGGTGTGTTGAAGCCACAACATGTATGTATTCAGAACTTCTTTCGCACTGTAGATTTTCCTTTACATATCCCATGGAGATACACATTAAATATTGGGTGAGCTTTCTCCCTTTGTTGTACAGTATATTTTTACTTCTTTATCCCATACCACATGCTTGATGTGGTGCAGATGTAACTTCAGAAAGAATTGGAATGCCACACTGACTGAATGTTGTCAGCAATTTCTCCAATCTGTGAACATAGTTAAATGTACTCTTTGGTTCTTTCGGTAAAGTCACGTAGGTAGAAAAATAAATAATAAATCACGTTTCGATTGCGACACAAGCAAACGTCATCAGGTAGAAAGATACAGCAGTAGAACTGCTGAACAAGAAAGGGCTCATATTCTTAGGTTTTTTTCGGTAAAGTCACACAGGTAAAACATCAAAATTAATGAAAATTAAATAAAATAAAACAAAAATCACGACGTTTCGGAGGCAACACAAGTCTCCGTCATCAGGTGGGACCGTCACAGCCGAATTAGCTGCATCAAGTGAGGCAATGATTCAAGATGTAATCCCTTATAAGCAAGTTGAAGGGGGGAGGAGAGGGGGGGGGGCTCATCAGAATGTGGTAGCCAATGAATGGAAACGTATCGGGAGGGAGGGGGGCGGGGCTCAAAGACAGCACGGAGTGCTCAACACATTGGGCAGAGCGGGGGAGGGGAGATCTGATACACATGAAAGACAAAAGAACGAAAATGCCCATGTTTATACCAATGCTGGCTGAACAATGAAGAGAGTACTGTTAAAAAATAACTGGGAATGTTAGGGGCTGTTGCAACAAGAGGTTATATATAGGTTTGAGGTGGGTGTCACCCAAGGGTAAGTAGGCGGGGTCAGAGATGGAAAGGAGTCCCGTCGCCTTACGCAAGCACAACAGCTGTGTTAAAGGAGGATTGGCATGTTACATTAATCCTCTTTCTCTGCATCAAATGAAAATAGTTACTTTACTTTCACATTCTGCTCCCTGCCTTTGTCTCAGATAGGTCTCTGCTTTGGAAACAAAACTCAGAATCTAGAGTTATTACTGAAGAATGAACAGAAAACACCTTTGTAAAATGATCTTATGCGTTAGTCGTTCCATACATCCCCCGATCCCTCTGTGTGCTGAGCTTCAGTCGAATAAAGCCGGTAATTGATATCCTCATAATAACAATATACCAAGAGGAGCCTTGACTATTTATCAAAGCAACCATAGTATAGTCACACAGTTTAACACGAAGCATCAGGTAATACACAGTGCAAGGCTCTGCAGCACTAACTTGTGCAGCTTTCAATATCAACATGGTTATGAGAAGCATCTTGTTTGGTCTCCTGCACTGGCAAACTCACCTGTACAGAATTGCAAAACCCTGAACCTCTTTTTGTACTGTTAAGCCATAAATTCCCTCCTCTCTACTGGAAAATCACAACACCCTGTACATTATTATATTTGTTCGGAGGCACACGCATGAACTTGGAGGCAACACGTTTATTACAACACCCCAACAGGGTTTCTACGTAAACGTACACTGGTTAAATAGACTACAATGGGGTAACTACATAACCGGGTCAGTCAGTAACACACTGCCTGACCCACGATGCCGAGCGTAAAGACCGAAGACCGAGGATCGAAGAGACGTAGCACCGACGGGTTCCATTTCCAGAGACCTCCCTTTTATACTCCCGAGAGGCGTGACCTCGCTCCGCCTTTGGCCACGCCCCCTTCTGGATCTCACCAGAAGGTTCTCGACCGAGCACCACGTGTCCCTCAAGCCCCCCTTTGGCCCCCCTCGCTATCCTGTCCCGGTCACGTGCCCTCCCAGGTTCACACAGACTCATGTCCTTGCTTGCCCTCTCTCTGACTGTCACCAGAACCAGGCCCCCTAGGGCCCGCTTCCATGCCATGTCTACTCTGGTGCCAGAGAGAGGCTCAAGACGCACAGATCCACTCTTGTGACAGTAGCTAGCGCTAAACGCCATGGTGACTCCATTTACATCACTACATATTGATACTATAGCACTTTACACACTTTTCTACAAAGTGTTTTAAACACCAGCAGCAGCGGAAATTATAATTAAGCTATATTTTCAAATGTATTTGAAAATATAGTTTAGCCAGCCGTGCTAATCGGTGTGGGGGGAGGACAACAATCTAAACACAAAAAAGCATTTGTAAAGAAATT